ACAAACGTCTCGCGAATTACTACACTCATAGTGCTTCAAGCATGACGTCATGAACAGCAAGCCATGGTCAGTGATTTTTGATGATTTGATCATATATCAGAGCAGTTGGCATTTTTCGATTGGAAATCTACAAAAAGTTGAATTGTCACGAACGGCTAATGTTGTCGCGTGCAGTGCTATTCTGCCTGCAATTTTCGAGACAGGCCAGAAAACTATCCGTCAAGCAGCAATAGTCAAAATGTACCATGTGTAAATAGCCATCGGCATAGATACATTGAAATTGGCTCCAAAATGTAAACAGTACTTCTGACTTGGTTATAAGACTTTGGTGGATGATTGTAAGCACGAGCATTCCTGAATAATTAATCTACAGACTGAAATTTCAATTTAGCCAAAATAGTCTACCTAAAAGTTAAAAGTTGAAATATGCAAATGTTTTTTTCAAAAATATTGTAGCTCGATGGATCCGGACGCGTCTTCAAAGAAATGACAGAACTGATGCGGGTTTATGCAATTCATGTACGAGACAAGCATTGATGTTTACTAATTTGAGCTGTTCTCTATCACCAGCCGGAAACGCCTTCAATCCGCGCGATACTTCACCGCTCACACCGGAGTTAAAATATTTGTATCACCAACTACCTTGCAGAACCCTTCGCTTTTTTGAACATTCATGAAGTACATATGGACGTAATTATGCTAAAAGGAACTATGTTACACGCAAACCCTATGCATTTAGTTCCTTTTAGCATAAATACGTCCATATTATCTCACCTTTCGTCGAAGAAACCTTTGTGGAAAGTGTTAACATTATATAATATCGATCATACCTTGAATGCAATGCGCAAAAACATTAATATCCAAGTAAATGATGGTTTCTCCATGGCTACCAATAATTTATGGATGCTCATACAAGTTTTGAGTAATGATTGTAACGATGTATTCTCAATCGTATGGTCGATCAATAAAAAATATTTCTAGAAAAATACAATTTCAGGCCTTTTTTTCGTGACTGCCCCTCGCATTTTCATTTTTTCTGTGCGACTTCTGAATTATTACTTAACAATTCAACCCGATCCTCCGAGCATCATTAAAACGCAATAATAAAATTAGTAGGTAACTCAGCAATAAAATAATCGTTCCAACACGCACACGGCTTAGTTACACCCATCAAGACTGAATGATATTTCACCGGTACTCTTCCTTCAGAACTTTCAAAGAAGACGGAAGGATTCTGTTAACGCACTCTTCTGGCATAAGGGCACAACTAAATTTTGGAATGAGCCCCATTTTCCATATGGATCCATGCTTTCCGCGGCTCACAGAGGAACCACGATAAGTTCGGTGATGCACCCTCATACTCTCATGATGCAACCGAAACTTATTAGCAGGTAAGCTCGATATTTCCCTCACGCTCAGGATAATAATAACATAAAGCCAGTGAGCGTCAATGGACTGCAAGGCGAGCAGTGGTGAGGCGTAAATGATCGATTATCGATATTTTCCCATTTGAAGCTATGGTAAAGAATCGAATATTAAAGTGTTCGTTGCGCACACCATGTTTATCGATCCATTTCCATAGGTTTAAATGGCAGATTCATTGATATATCGCAAAGAACGCCACGCCACTGGAGGCAAGCTTGCTGCAGCTTACGGTTAACGGGTCCTCTTGTTCGAAAATTATGCATGCAGCGATAATGCAACACGTTGACTTCACACATATTTATGATGATATTTGAGCGTGCAAATAAGAAATACCACAGAATCTTCCTCCCCATCAAATTAACTCCTCGATGAAGGATTATACGGCTAATCCTTCGGTGGCCAGACACAGGATCGTAACTCCATTCCAAGGTTGCAAAATAATTGAGTCAAACAATTCAATGTTCTCTAGAAATATGAAGTTATAATTTCCGTCCACTTTTTTTGCTGGTTCTTTCGCGTAATTAAAAGAAAACAGTAAACCTTTCGGTTAGAGATGGCCGACAGTCTCGTAGTAGAAACACAACTTACAAGTGTACATTTTTAAATGTTGATGCGCAGTTCAGTTATTTCGGTCTGAAAAACGACGATTGTTTGGTGGCGGTACTTTTATAATGCTAATTTTTGAGTTCCAAAGTCGCATGATCGTAATACGATTGCGAGTGCTTGGAACCTAATCTTCGTTTTTTCAGTGGATTTTCCCGACTAGGTTTTCAATTGACTTTGTGAGGTTGCGATAGTTAATTGGTCCATCAGTTATGCGCAAATTACGTCATTTAGCAATGGTAAGGTTGTCTCAGAAAAAGGAATCCAGAAACAAAAAACCCAGACGAGGCTTAAGGTAAGTGGATGATCTTGCACGGAAATCTTATTTTGAGACATTGACTTTCCCTATAATCGTCCTTAATTTGATTCAAAATGAATTTTTGGAATGTTTCATCGTTCATTGTTGATTCACCTCATACTTCAACCGTAAAACTCCGAGGACACGTCTCTTAGTTTGCGAAATAGCATATTTCCTTTCATCATATTTTTGTCCTTCTTTTTAAATTTTCCAAGTGTTTAAATTTGACAATTTTTCATTGGCGTATCCAGCAATATGGCAACACAGGATTTCCTCAATTTAAACCTATGGAAATGTATCGATTCTTGGAGGAACCAGGTGCTCCAACAAGAGTCGATTATTTAGCATAGGTTCAAATGGAGGAATTCGGTGTTGCCGAATAGCTGGATCCGCCTCCGCAATTTTTCAGGGAAATATTGATCATTTTCAAGGGACTCTTCGAGATTCTTTGAAATATTACCCCCTTGTGCTTGAAATTGCTATCTTCTCTCAACATACCCCCCCCCCCCAAAAAAAAAATAAATAGGTCGCTGAAATGGCATTCCTGTATTAAACCTTAGTTTTTCGCGTTCGGGTGGGCAGGGAACAGCAACCATTATGTTTCCTCAAATTTACGCAAAATGAGAGCTAAAGTTTCGGGTGAGTCAATGAGTGTGCTGAGCGCACATACAACTACACCGAAGTCAGATTTCTCAATAATTCCGTATATCCTCAGAGAAAACGTCAATGAATGTCTTCAAGTCTTCCCAATTTCGTTCCAAATCGCCTCATAGCAAAGAAGAGGTTCCTAAATCCTGAAATTTCAATCTGAAGTTCATTTCGCCATTAGGTTGCATGCAATTTCCAGCCTTGAATGGCTCTTTTTCTCGAAACTGGGTCAGACATAGGAGTAGAATCCGTCGTCCTTCCGACGTAAGGGCGTAACTCTATTTCGCCGTAAGCCCCGGAAACCATGGATTTATACGAAGAGCAAGGGTCACGCGGGAACTAAGTTAGGCCCCTACGTCAGGAGAGTGACGAATTCGGTGTAATTTATTAGTTTGCACCGCGGCAAGTTGCACGCACCAACACATGGCGCGGCGGCTCACATTGAGTGCGATCACCCAACTGAGAAAACACGGGAACTTTCAGCTGAAACTTCAGTCGACGTGGAAAATGTTGATGCGCACGGAGGACGTCCTGTTCTTGACGTTTTCGTGTCTTTTTCTTTTGATTTCCGTCCTGTTCCTCATCGTCTCGTTTCACTTCCTCGTCAAGACCGTGTCGTGAGCCGTGAAAACGAGTCTATTTTCGCCTTCGGACAACAACCTCCGCCTCCCTCGACCGAGCCATGCCCCCGTCGCACCTTGAGCGGTGAGTCCCTCACTTCACCTTCGTCTGCGAGAGACTAGCGTAGGAATTCATATAAGGTAGACCACAAAATGGGGTATGAATGCAAGTACCCCATAACTCCCCCCCCCCAAATCGCTGTAGTACATTTTCAAAAATGCTTTCTTTTTTGAAGAAGGGGACATTCGCACAAATATGCATTATTAGTTATTTTTAGTTATTTCCTTTTACAAATAAAATGAAGGATACGTAGGGTTTGGTTCGGTTACGTTAGGTTTATTCCTTTGAGCCTGACCTTTACATTTCACCCTCAGAAGATTCAACCGTAATTCCTCATCTATCCATAAAAAGAGGAACTTTTGAAATTTTCCTGATGATTGTGAACATTGGACAATCCCAAGCGTGTAAAAAAGTTTTTGTGATTAGCACATAAGAACAGGAACAAACATTTCAAATCTTGTTGCCTCTTGTAATTTGCCGCTGTAAGCATCTGCCATCTTTGCTTATCTGTGAGGCCACCGCGACGGTCCTGCCAAAGATGCAGAACGAATGGTATCTTTCTATGTCTAATTCTAGACAGAAACACAAATGTTGACTTAAGGTACAGTGGGACACTAGTCAAAAAAGTATGTCAAAGGGCGAGGCAGGAGATGCCTTTGCTGTTCTTACAAACACACTCCGAGCATATGTTTTACACGCTTTGTCGAATCACGGCCGCTCAGGGCTATTCTCAGTTGGTCTGCCACCGTCGCGTAGTGCGAGAGGGGTCCGCGGGGGTGCAAACAACCCCCTGCCCCCTCCCCCCGGCGACTGAAAAATTCTCAAGAAAACCGTCATTCTTCGTGAATTTAAGCCATATTTTATCCTTCGTCTACGTGCACGAACCTCCGTTTTTGACATTGGAAATTTTTTTAGAGAACCAGGCGACGTAATTTCTTAAAAACTTCATCAAATTTTTTCTCTGTTAGTAGAAGATTTTGTATAGATTTCAATCTACATGGTTAGCTTGTTCTTAAAATAAAATAGTAGCGAGAATTTTGAAACACTATAATGCAGATACGTGGTTTTGCACTTTGATTACCAATATAAAGGCAACATCTCAGTGTTTCAAAATTTTCTCACGAGCACCAACACACACTGGCTCAACTAAAGATACCCGTTGTAAGCCTTTACCGAGTACCTCAGTGATTTAAATCAGTCCTCTTTAAACAAACAAAAAAAAAAAAAAATGTCCAACTCAATGTATTGAGCATTTGTTCATTTGATTGGCAGCAGTAAAAACCATTAGCTGAACAACTGAAGTAAGTAATTCTCTCTCACATTTATGAGTATAAAATTGACATACCTGATTGAGAGTCATTGATAGCCTTCAGGAGAATGCCGTCAAAAACAGCTGAACCATCCGGTGGCATCACAGTGTAGAACTTAAGACCCGAAACTTCAATTATGTTTCCTCAAAAGAAACGAGATTTTCGATGAATTCTCATTCACGCACAAAGATTGTATCACTTCTTAATATGTATACCGTGCAAAATGTTGAAAAAATCCGCGTGAAAAGAGCTCAATATTTAATACTGGAATCACGCCACTGAGTTGATTATACTGAAATTGAGACGAGTAATAATTTTTAAACGCATCCCACTTTCTTTCGAAATACCCACAATTATTTGATTATTTTACTCATTTTATACAGCATAAAAAATTTGTTTTGCAGATACTTCAAAATACTTCGGATAATTTGTTTTTGGAAAAATTCCCTCTAAACCTATTTAAAAAAACACACATACTGACTAAATATTCAAAAAAATAGACGTTCGGGGGTCAAGGCTAGGATGAAATCACGACTTCCTGTAAAAAGCTATTGATAAAAATAAATTACGCTCACACTACGGCTTTGAAGTATCGGATGATTTGTGTGTACTCTTCGTAAAAATAAAGAAGGGATAAACAAATCCCCCTCTCTTCTCATTTGCGATCAGTCCGTCTGCCCTGCAACCTCTTAGCAGTTATTCCCCAGTCAAAACAAAGCATCTTTCATATGAGAGCAACTGATATTCCCAGTGACGTATGCAGGCCTCCACGTTTATCTGGCCGTTAGACGAACCCGCGAACTTCAGAGTAAAACCATGAATGACCTTAGATAAATGAATGAAATTCCCTCTCTACCGGCGCACGGTGGAACGTTGCAACGGATTTGCGTCGGACAAAATGAATGTTGACTTCATTCTGGGTTTTTTTCTCGTTGTATTTCTTTTTTTCTAACAGCCGACTTTAAAAAAATGCGATACGGCAAAGGGGATCAAAGTTCACAAAAACGACATATTAAGAAAGAATACGTTCATCGAACTCGGTCGGACAGTCGGGCGCTCTTACGTTTCAACGAAGAGTTCTCTGGTGATCTTGATACGAATTCTGGTTGTTCCTCGATGAAATTTTGCGGAAATACCGGGCGTAAAGTTGTAAGTATTACAATTGGGTAATGGAGCTTTTGCAGGCCACTGGAAGTACTGAAAATGTAGGTGCTTCTTCCACGATAAAATTATACGAATAACCCGATGGTGTGCTGAACGGGAGCCGAACATTGTATTGAAGGGGTGGAATTAGTCCGATATGCTATGCTTGATACCGATGAGCAGACATTACAAAACTATACTGCAAGCAGCAATAACTGCTCCCAAGTCACCTGTTTTGCCTAGCGAGATATTAAAGGCGAACCGGTCGGAACAAGACAGAAACAATGTGAGCCATGTATTAGGTATTATACGCTACAACAGGGTGAACCTGACCGAAATGCTGCGAGCAACTGTTACTGCTCCGAAGCCGCTCACATTGCCTATCGAGGTATTGAAGGCGAACCGGTCGGAATAAGTTCGGCACAATGTGAGTGATGTGTTACGCTACTACAGCTATGAACAAACCGATTGAACTTGGCCGAAATGCTGCGAGCAACTATCACTGCTCCGAAGCCGCTCACATTGCAGATCGAGATATTGAAGGCGGACTGATTTGCACGGGTGAGACATAATCTGAATGGAATATTATTCCTTTAATACGACCCTAAGTGCCACAGAGCTATAAGAGCGACTATTGTATACCTGCACATGTCGATGATGAAACTTTCAAACCACGTATCCCAGTTTGCGATGTTGCAGACTTCATACTTTATTTATTAAACTGAAAACGACTTAACGTCAATGCGTAAGAACTTTCTTGATTTTTTTTCGCATCGAGGAGCAAATTCTAAAAAAAACTCAAAGAATGATGTTAGTTTGTTTTCCTGTAAAAAATAAATCAGGAGCGGAGATTTTTGAGCCCCACGAACGAGATGCGTGGTTTGGGAGTTTCACTGACGCGGTGTATGTGAAAGAAATACGTCTTCATAACAATTTATCGATGTTCGCCGTGTGAAGACAGCTTTGAATTTCACGATCGTTGATTTTCTGGTGATTATTCAATCGCGGATCGCGCACTCATCAGCCATGGTATCATGGTATCAACGCGTTTCGTGTAGCGCACTGGCGTGTGGTTTACCAGGGCCCCGACCTTCCGAAAAACGAAATCCTCTCGGATCTCGTCCTTAAAGTGCCCCGATCCAATGTCTCATACTCCACGCTCCGTCGTTTACACACAAAAATCCGGAATCGGATAATTGGATTATGGTTGTTTTCTGTGCATAAATCAGCAATTAGCCACGCCGCAGTGGTCGGAGAAAACACGGAGCATGAAAAACGGGTGAAAAAATCGGCCGATAAACGCACGACGAGACGCATCGACGCATGGTGGATTCGGGACCAAAACCGCCAACACTTTATCTAAAAAGAATAATTAACCATCCATACATTGGCCTTCTGAGAGTCAGTTTAAGAATCAACTTACTGGACAAAATGAGTTTACAACTAACCCGGGTTAAATGGGAAAAATACAAATGACAACATTTGCTCACTTGAACTTTCGATTGTTCGTTTTATATCAAAATATATATTTTAAAGTCTCGTTCATGGGTTGATTGACAAACTTCCAGTTAAGTGAATCGTTTTCCACGTAAAATTTTAAGGAGAACACGTAAAGTTCTTTGCTGGCTCAAACCTTATCCAGTGCATGGCGGTTCCAGGGGGAGGGAAGGGAATAAGAAGGAAGAACGCTTGTATTTGGTAATTGTTTCAGACGAAATCGACTCAAACTGCATATTCGATACTTTTTCGAAAATATCCTCGGGAGACCCTCCAGACCCCTCTTCCGCCCCCCTCCTTACGAAGTGTCGGGATCCACCTATGGTCTAAAGCTAATTTACTTCCCATTACTTTAAAATCCTAGTAAATAAAATGTTACTTTCAACGAACTCCACCATCGATTGAATCCCAATAAATTGTAATATTAGTTTAAATCTTTCGAGCAATCTTTGAAAAAAACAAACACACATCAAACTTGTCTGTCATTTCATTACCAGCAACAGTTATAAAAGCAGACTTAGAGCGCTTATACTAAATTCACAGCGACGCAACCTGACTCAATTTTAAACACAAAAAAGCACTCATCTTCTCGCGCCGCGAACTTTCAACTTCGTAAGATTTCGCAAACGACTGATTATTTTGGATTCAAGCGTTCTAACCACACGAACTTGTTCCCTTTCTCTCTCCATTCTTCCTTGCATTTTTACCTCTTTTTTTCCCTGCTGATACGACACCCATACTCAGATAAGATAGAGCTCTAAGAAATCGGCAAATATACGACGAATTTCAAACCGCATATCCGGCCTGGGGATTAGCCTCTTGCCATCCTCGCAACGACCAACCTAAATTCGTCGCCTACATGGCATAAGGGCGTAACTGCACTCTGTATTGAACCCTGTCTTCCATACAATTAAATGCTTTTCCAGGCTCATCTCAATAAGTAATTACGCCCTTATGTTAGCCGAGGAAATTCACTACAAGATTTGAATGTCATCGTTTAAGGCAATAAATTGGACAGCATTTCGTAATTTATAATAATTTGGGTCCATTTATACAATTATTTTCCCCCCTGAAGAAAATTACCTCCCCTAGGAAATGTCTTTTATCAGAAACGTTCATCCCCTCTCGTTTCGCATTAGGGACTTCCCCAAAATTTTAGAAATTTTCAAAAAATTAACTATAACTATGAAAACTGATCTATTTAAGAATGAAACACGTACACCCGGTCTTCAAACAGCTGAGGATGTCGGCAGCCATGATAAGCGATGAAGATGGAGTGAAGCTCCGAAACAATTGGTGGACAACATTCTGCAAGTAGAAACTACCATTTTATGGGTCAGTCTCAAAAAACGCACATGCCATCAGTTTTCCTGAGCCCATAAGTATTTTTACAGATAAGCCAGAAATGTTAGTTCCAAATTGGAAAAGGTATCCCATTTTCCGACAATAAAGTGAGTGAAGTGTTTTAGAAAACAAAATGGTCAATTTTATTTTCTATGTGACCATTTTAGTTTAGAGGTTGTTGTTTGTAATTATCCTTATCTCTCTTTACATCTCTCGAGGGCATTCATTCAGAATTTTTTTTTTCTTTCCATGTTGATATCGTGTCCTAAAAACTCCTGAAGTTACACTATTAAAATGTTAGAGTGAATGGAGCATAAATCCTAAGGGATTTAAGATGGTGAAAAAAAAACCAGAATCAAAACAGCACGAATCCATTACACTTTCTGGGAAATTCACGCCATAATATTGACCTTTACTCTCGAAATTTTCAGGTTCAATCTCTGGAGTCTTAAAATGTGATTTTATAGATGAATCAAAACAAATTCTCTGGAAAAAAATTACTGTTCTTTTTGCGATTCTCCGAAAGTCGGAAAAAGTGAGTCGGTGCCCTTTCAACCCATGCTCTACCGTGCCAAGGAAAAACGCCGCACGAACATTCGAGGGTTGCCAAATTGCCTCCAGTGAAATACTTATTTTTAAAGAGAGTTGTGAACATTTTCTGTTCAAATTCCTGATAATTTAGATTTAATTACGCATACAATTATTTAAAAGGACGAGAAGAAAATATTTCCAGGTTCCTCTGAACATTCTTATTTTAACAGAGGAAATTTGGTGTCGTCTGATCAGTGGCGTGGCGTGCTTCGCGATGTATTGATTGATCTACCATTTAAACGTGTGGAAAAGGATCGATAGACAGGGTATTCGCAACGGACACCTTAATAATCGATTCTTCACCACAGCTTCAAATGGGGAAATATCGATAATCGATCATTCACGCCACGCCAGTGCGTCTGATGGCTCATACGGCGTTCTTCCTCAAAATGGCAGTGCTTCCAAGATGAGTGATGACTGGATGACTCATCGACGGACCATGCGGCTGCAGCGGGGGCAGCAGACAGCGCGTCGCGTATGACGTATGACGTCACGACGCGAGCGCGGGCTGGAGCTCATCTCGCGTGGCGCGCACGTGTGTGCGTGCGTGCGGGCGCGCCCGTCGCGGCGGCGAGGCGCGCGGTGCGGTGGC